GGGCGGGGAGAAGGGTGCAACAATGAATGAATAGAATTCCAAAATCTCTGTAGATGGTCATTGAAATGAAAAAGAAATAAATAAATAGATAGATGATAGATAGATAGATAAATAAATAGATCGATAAATAGATAAATAAATAAATAAAATAAGAAAGCATACAAGGGAAAAAAATTAAAAAAAAATACATAAAAGATTCATAGCCTCTCATGCTCCCAGAGGTGTACTGTGAGTCACACTCAGCTTTTGTTATTGTTGATGTGGGCAGCTGAGTCGGACCACTCAGAATAGGTTTTCAGAGGCTGTAAATTGCAGGAGAGGACACTGCCCATCTTTTCCCCTTGAAGCCACAGGTAGATTTGAAACACCTGCCTTTGTGTTGGCAGCACAACTCCTTACTCATCTGGCCACCAGAGGGTTTGATTTTAATTTTAATTACTGAGTGTCTATTAATACTAACTAGCAACTACCTCAAGGGCAGAAATTTTGTCTATGCTAGTCATTGTTGTCTAGGATGGTACCTGGCATATAGCAGATGTTTAGTAAACATTTGGGGAATTAATACATTTGTGACAAAGGTATAATAGCCATCCCTAACAGGCCCTCTATGAGGTGGATTGATTCAGTGACTGGGGTAATCGGGATGGGTGTGTTGGAGACAGTGCGATTGGCACAGAATAGAGCAGGGTTTATTAGGGCTATTGTACATAGGGTCGCTAATGAGTCTCAAGCAACTCGATGGCACATAACAACAACAACCCATAGTCTTATGGAATTCAAAATGGTAAATATTAATTACTGAACAGTCCAGATAGGCTTGAATAAATTGGTAAGTTAAAGGAAGAAACATTTCCTTGATTATATTTGCATCAAAATAAAAAATAGAGAAACAGGTAGGGCTTAAAGCTTTATTACAGCCAGCAGAGTTGAGATGAATGACATAGACATAGTGCGTCTGCTAATGGGACCCCGCTGGAGAAGTTGACCTGGACCTGGCAAACTGAAATCTCTTTCCAGGGAGTAAGAAGTCAATGGGGGGGAACTTGGCCAGCCAGCTACCTTTTCCCTTTGGCTTGGACAAAGGCCTGGAGGAGTTCTGGAGTATTAACAACTCGTGGTTATTGTTAAGTGCCATAGAGCCAAGTAAGATTCATAGCGATCCTGTGAAAACAGATCTGAACTCCATCCTAACCAGTGCCGTCCTCACAATCCGACACACTTGAGGCCACTGCTGCAGCCACTGTGTCAGTCCACTTGGTTTTCCTTTATTTCACTACCCCTCCGTCTTCCAAGGTATGATGTCCCTTTCCAAGGAATAACCTTTCCTAGCTCCATGCCCAAAGTATGTAAGATGTAGCTTTATCATCTTTGCCTCCAAGGAGCATTCTGGCTGCACCCTCTCCAAGATATATCTATTTGTTCTTTGGTAGTCCATGGGATGTTCAGTACTCTTCTTCAACACTACAGTTCAAAGGCATCAGTGCTTCAGTCATCCTTATTCATTGTCCAGCTTCCAGCAGCATAGCCAGTAAGTGAAAAGAACATAGTCCTCAAACTAACAGCATTGCTCAGTAATTTGGAGAGGTCCCTGACTGCACTTTCTCAGTGAAGTACATTTCCTGATTTCCTGACTGCTGGTTCCAAGTGTACTGATTGTGTATCCAAGTAAGGTGAAATTGTTGACAGTTTCAATCTTTTCCCCATCTATCGTAATGTTACCTATAGGTCTAGTGGTGTGAATTTTTGTTTTCCTGATACTGAGATGCAATCCATACTGAAGATTATAATCTTTCCCCTTCTACAGCAATCACTTCAAGTCCTCCTCATTTTCTACAAGCAAGATTGTGTCATCAGCATAATGAAGATTATTGATAAGTATTCCTCTAATCTTGATGTAACATTCTTCTTCATAGAGTCTAGCTTCTCAAATAATTTTCTCAGCATACAGATTGAATAGATATGGAGAAAGGATTCATCCCTGACACACATCTTTCTTATATTTCTAAGCCACGTCATTTTCTCTTGCTCTGTTCGCACAACAACCTCTTGGTCTAGGTTTCACATGAGCACCATTAAGTGTTCTGAGACCCTCATTCTTCTCAATGTTAGCCATAATTTGTTATGACGCACACAGTCAAATGCCTTTGCATAGTAAATAAAGCATAAATAGACATTCTTCTGCTATTCTTTACTTTCGGCCAGGATTAATCTGACATCAGCAATGATATCTCTGTGCTGCTAATGCAAAAGGCCCAGGTTCTCTGGTGGTTTGAATCCATCAGCAGCTCCAGGGGACAAAGATGGACATTCTCCAGCAAACATCACATGCTAGAGAGGTTGTGGAGAAACTGGAACCCTTATTCACTGTTGCTGGGAGTGTAAAATGGTGCAACCACTGTGGAAGGCTCTATGGCGCTTTCTCAAAAAGGTGCAAATAGAAATACCATTTGACCCAGCAGTTCCACTACTGGGAAAATACCCCGAAGAGACCATAACTGACATCCAAACAGATATATGCACACCTGTGTTTATTGTGGCTTTGTTCACAATATCAAAGAGTTGGAAACAACCTAAGTGCCCATCAACAAACGAATAGATAGAGAAGCTGTGGTATATTCATACAATAAAATACTATGCTGCATTGAAAAACAAGGAATTCATGAAATATTATACAAAATGTGTGACCCTGGAGGACATTATGCTGAGTGAAATATCTCAGTCACAAAAGGACAAATACTGCATAGAGCCACTGTTGTAAAATAGGACTGACATAGCGGTTAAGGGAAGACAGAGAAGGAGGGGAGGAATGATGTATACTGCATTGAAACAGATGAGGGAGAGAACTGTTTAAAAGGGATACAGGATTATATCCTGTCATGACAGGAGTCGAGAATAAAGGCTGCATAGTGGAGTGGATTTAGGGGGAGGGATTGTACAAAAATGAAAGATTTTTTCTTTTACTTTTCAAAGAGAAGAGCGAATGGATGGGAGGGGTGGGCAGGGAGAAAAGTGCAACAATGAATGACTGAAAACCCTAAGTCTCTGTAAACTTTCATTAAAACTAATTTAAAAAGAGAAACTTAAACCAGAAAGAAAGAAAAAAAAAAAGACTGGAATTCTCCTTCCATGTGATGTATAGCCTTGAAAACCTTGGGGTGGTCCGCTCTGAACTGGTTCTGCGACCCACTTAAGGGCAGGGAGTGAGTGTTCCTTTTACCATACTCAGGACAGTGCCTGGCACGTTGTTCATGGTCAGTATGCTCATAATTGTTAGTTTATTTTTGAAGAAACGTTTGCTTCATCCATTTACTCATTCACATATATTGATTGTATTTTGTCCAGGTGCCAAGGACTTGGGGGACGGGATAGGACAGACATGAAGTGTTCTGTTGGATCAGGGGCTGTGAGTTCAGGGAGTTCGGGCCTGAGGATTGGGTCAGGAGGGCTGACTGAGACGGGACCAGGAAGGAGGGGTTGGTTTGGAGAGACAGTGAGGCCAGTGTGAAGATCATGGTTGACAGTTAAGAAGAGTTCTGGAAGCTTTGGGTTTAGGACTCGGGACAGAAGCATGAACAGCCTTAGGTCAGAGTTGAGAAGCTGAGGCTATAGAGTTAGGTGAGACAGTTCCTGCAGAGAGAATAAGGAAGAAGAGGGAAGGCCAGGACCCAGCCCTGGGCAACTGCCATATTTAAGAGACAGGCAGTTGTTGTGTACTGGGGAGTCAGAACTGACCCATATCTGACCCTCCAGCTGGTTTTCAGAGGCAGTAAATCATATGGAGGGGAGACTGCCCATTTTTCTTCTGTGGAGCAACTGGTGGAGTCAAACCATTCACCTTTGTGTTGGCAGCACAATTCCTTACCACTAAGCTACCACAGCTCCCTAAGAAACAGGCAGAGAAAAGACTAAAGATTAAGAAGGAGCTGACCAAGACAGAAAAGGAAAACTAGGTATGCCAGTGTTGGGGAAGCGGAAGAAAACAAGTGATGCAAAGACAGTCTTTTGTTCACCAGAGTCAGACGCCAGCCTCTGCTGGGACTTGACGTGCACAGCCTCAAAACCGCCCTACTAAGAAGTTACTGTCACTGTCTCACATGAATAAACAAAGTTCACAGAGGTGAAACTCATTACCCTCCAGAGCCAGTCCTCTGACATGCTAGTGCCTGCTCCTATGTGTCCAACACATTTTAAAAATTATAAATGAAAAGTTCAAGATGAAAAAAAAAAGAAGCATCAGTCGATCCTCCGTAGCATTATTTGGAGTGAAGGGAGCCTGGAGACCGCCGAGGCTGAGTCTAGGAAGGCAGAGGGGGCAGTTCTTGCTGTTGTTAGATGTCACAGAGTTGACTCTGACCTGACGTGCAGTAGCCTGAAACCTGTTGATATCACTGATAAACCTCACCACATGGCTACGCTTAAACCCAGCGTTGCAGACTCCATGAAGATCCACCTCACGGTGATTAAAAGTAGTGGACTAGATGAATGCAAAGAGTTAGGATTGGATCATTAATCAGGGTGCTCAGAGAGAAACTGGAGTTCTGGTGTCTGGTGATGAGGAGTTGTGCTGCCAACCCAAAGGCATGAGGTTCAAGTCCACCATGTGCTCCCGTATCACAGCATCTCAAAACTCATTGCCAGCGAGTCAGAACCATAGCTGCCTCTCTGTTGGGATCATGAAACCATAAATTGCACAAGAGGATCTTGCCCTTCATTCTCAGAGCATCTGGTGGGTTCGAACCACTGAAGAAGTGTGACTTTTGAGTTAGCAGCGACCACCAGAGCTCACTGTATAGGGTAGCATGCTATGGTTATGTTTATTCTGGTGGTTCTGTCTCTGAGAAGTTGCTGTGTACCATTGAGTCAGAGCCAGCTCATAGCTGGCCTTCCAGTAGTTTTCATACGCAGTAAATGGCATGGGAGTTGATGATTCTTTTTTTCACCAATGGTGGATTTGAACCTCATGCCTTCGGGATTGCAGCACACCTTCCTAATCACTAGGCCACCAGCACTCCCTCTTGCTGTTGTTGTTATGTGCAGTGGAGTTGCTTGAAACTCATAGGAGTTGCACAATAGCTTGGAACCCACCTCCATCCTGAGCCAGTATCACTGCCTCTGACACACCTGCCCTCATTACCCCAGTCACTCTGTCAACCCATCTAATCCAGGATCTTCCTGTTCTGTGCCATCCCTCCACCCTACCTGGTCCTTCTCCAAGGCCCAGTCCCTCTGGATGACATGTCCAAAATATATCAGACAGAGCTTCAAAATCCTTGCCTCCAAGGAGCAACTTGGTTTCACCCTCGCCTGAACAGAACGTGTTTGTTCTCTTGGAAGTCCACAGTACATTCAGTATTCTTGAGGATCCCACCTGCAGGAACCTGCACATACAAGTTCAGGGTCTCTGTTCTCCTCATACTCTTTACCAACCATCCAACTTTGCCTGACCTGATGTCATTACCTGCCCAGAGTCCATGGTTTCTGCCAGCCGCTCAGGGCTCAGCTCTGAGGAGTCTCCTGACTCTCTGATCCAGGAGGTTAGCTCTTTCTGAAATGAGATGATAACTGGGGCAGTAGGGGGCCTTGTGTCCAGCTGCACCCCTACTCCACCACCCTACCCTTCTCTTACACAGAGCCGAGTGCTGGCGAGTGCCGTCACCTTCAGCTGCATGAGGCTGTGCCCAGCCGGGCCAGGGGTCTCCAGAAGGCTTCGTGACAGGTCCACGCACCGCAGCATGGCACTGAGGTTCCCCTCGTACCAAGCCTCGCTACCCAGCCAGCAGGCATCAGCGTCTGAGTCTGCTAAGCCCCTGCCGGCCATCCTCCCAGCTCCCCAGCACCGTGGACCCTACTCACCCAGTCTTGGCTTCTGAGTCTGGCTCCTCTTCAGTGGGCACTGCTAGCAGGGGCCGGAGCCCTAGGTGTTGAAGCTGCAGGACACAATCTTTCACCTCCTCTGCTGTCTCTCCAGCCACAAACTGCCCATAGAAGGATGCTCTGAGAAGCATACTCGAGAGCCGGGAGCCCAGGAGTCGCCGAGACCAGGCCTGGAGCTGGGGTTGTAGAGACCAAGCGTCCAGAGCAGAGTTCCAGGGAGTCACCAGGCCAGGGGAACTGCTCCTGGGGACCGCTGCTCACCGCAAGCCCATGGGTGACCAAGGGAGGCCAGGCACAGAGTCGCAGCACCAGCAGAGCTCTGGTCAGCTCTCTTGTGTTTTTCAGGTGGAAGACCTCACCATCAAAGTGCAGAGGCTGCCAGCTTCTAGTGGAGGGACCAGCCCCGGAGCACAGCATGCGACAGGTCCGGAGCATCATGAAGTGGCCTTTTGTCACTTCCACACCAGGGAAGGGGCTTTGTTGGCAGTGGCTCATTGATTCCCCATTGCCTGGCCAGGCTAGTGGCCAATTAACCGGCCAGAGAACAGGGAAAGGCAAACTTTTAGGATCAAAGTTAATTTATGGAGTCATTAATTATTAACTGCTGAGGACATAGTTCATTGTTACCAGGACAGCAAAGGAAACCCCTAGTAATAACTCTACTCCCCACCTCCCCCCAAAAAACCCTTCTCAGGATAATGGTCTGGGTTTATCTAGTGTACACCATGCATCTCTGGGAACCAAATAGGAACGTGTGCTCTGGAGCAAGGATCTCTGGGTTCAAGGCAGCTAGATCTATGAGTTTAGGAAAACTATTCAACTGTTCTTTGATTGTGTTGGTTCATCACTTAAGTGAGAAACTATGGTGGTGTTGGATATATTTTAAAAAGGCACATAATCTATAACCTGGCTCTTCTTGTTTATGGACATCAAAAAGTATGTCCAGGAAATAACGGTCACAGTGGCACTGTCTGTAATAACCCACCCAAATGTCCATCAACAGGAGAATGAGAACATATTGTGCAGTAGCCTTGCAGTGGAAAAGAAATTATCATTTAAATTTAAAGAAATTATCATTTAGATTTAAAGAAATTATTATTTAAATTATTTAAATTTCATAGCGATGAAAAAGCATTGAAGCCAGACATGAAAGAGAACATGCTACACAGTTCCACTCAGTACATTTGAAAGCACGGACCGTGGAACTGCAGGAAGTGTTGGGGATGTCTGGGTCGTCAGTCTAGAAGGAGAAGAAAAGCTAAGGGTTCATAGTGATTGTGAGGTGTTGTGACTAACAAAGGGCATGTGGGGCTTGTGTGTCTCTCTGTCTAGATGCTGAGTCTCTGTTGTTTATAAGTATTTTTAAAACCATAGGTCTGTGTTCTCTTCATACACTACCGAGTGTACATTTCTCAAGAAAAGAAAAGTAAGACATAAAAAGAAATAAGTATTAGTCTTATAGATTTGCAGTGAGGATCCAGTGAGTTAGAAGACACACACACACACACACACACACACACACACACACACACACACACACACACACCCCTCTAACGTCCTATGTGTCATCACGAAGTGTGATGTATGCATGGTCTCTTTTATTCTGGTTGCACTCATTAAGTTGTTGTTATGGACCAGCCAGTTGGGATCAACTCATGGCCAACCCTCCGGAGGGTTTTCAGAGCAGTCACTCACACAGGAGGCTGCCCATCTTTCTCCCACAGAGAAGCGAGTGGATTCAAACTGCCTTGGGTTGAATGTGCAATTCTTTACCATTGGGCCACCTAGGAGCTATTGGACCCCAGAGTTCACAGATGTTTAAATCTACAATTCAGAGGGCTAGAAGCACCTTCTTGAAGTCACACAACCAGTAAAAGATCAAATCCTTTTTATCTCAGTCCTCAGATTTAAAAAAAAAATGGTTTTCATTGTGGTGAAAAATACTTAAATCTCTTTTCTCATGTCAATCATTTTGATGTCTATCATTCAGTGGCATCTATTTACTTCACTGTGTTAAGTAACCTCTAAGCATTTCCAAATGTTTTCCTTCACTCTAAAAAGGAACTTTGTACTTTTTGAGCAATACCTCGGCTTTCCTCCCTCCCACCTGGTCCTGGGAGCCTTTAAGAAGCATTTGTTTTGCCTACCCCACATACTTCCTACAGGTGAAATCATACAATACTTTTTTTAATGACCTAACATATTTCATTCAACATGATGCTTTCAGGGTCCTTCCATGTGTCAGAACCTCACTTCTTTCTGTCTGAATAACATTCCCTTCTATGTACATTTTAAAAACAATACCATTGCCGTGGAATTGTTTCCACATCATCATGACCCTATGGAACAGAGGAGAATTGTCCCCATGGGATTGCTGAGGCTGCAGTCTCTCCAGAAGGAGGCACTAGTGGCCTTAGTAGTACGAAGATGTGTTGTAATCTCAAAGGCACACAGTTCAAATCTACCAGCTGCTCTGCAGGAGACACATGGGAAGTCTTCTCTCATGCAATTTACTGCCTTTGAAAACCTGCTGGGAGGTCAGCTGTGAGTTGGTCCCGACTCAATGGCACACAACAACAACAACAATAGCAATCTTTACACAAGGAGCACTAGTGATATAGTATCAAACCACTAACCAAGAGGTCAGAAGTTCAAATCCACCAACCCCTCTTTGGGAGAAAAATGGGCAGTGTCTCCTGTAAGGATTTAAAGCCTTGGAAACCCGCTGGGGGTCGCTAAAGTCAGAGCCATCTCAGAGGCACTGGGTTCAATATTTACCGGGACAGACCTCCATGTACTCCTTCCTCGGAACATCTGGTGGGAGAAATCCACCAACCATTCTCTTAGAAGCCTGGTGCTTAACTGCTGCATCACCAAGGCCCCTCGGTGTGTTTGTTGCCAGGCACTTGGATTGTTTCCACCTTTTAGTTCTGTGAACTGTGCTGCAGTGAACATTTGTGTACAAGGATCTGTTTGAGTCCCATTTCCAAGTTACTTATGTACATACATATGGGCTGAATTGCTGAATCATAGAGCAGGCAGTACCTGTTAACCAGCCCATATTTTTGTTCTTTTTAAATTTCCATTTGAAATTTTAGAAATAATTTTGCAGTTTTGTTCAAGCATTCATAGTCATTTTGTTTTATAACATTAATTAAAATGTATTTAATGATAATGTCTAATCAAACTTTTAGTACATATTGACTTTCCCTTCACCCAAAGGTGGTCTGTGGATAGCCAGTTGTCCAGCAGTATAACTCAAAAACACTGATTCTTCTGTCATCCTTATTCATTGTCCAACTTTCAGATGCATAACAAGTAATTGAAAAGACCGTGGCTTGCATCAGATGCATCTTAATTTATAAACTGATATCATTGCTCCTTAACACCTAACAGAGATTCTAGACAGCAGATTTGCCCAAAGCCATACATCTTTTAATTTCTTGATTGCTGGTGTAAAGTGTGTTGATTGTGGATCCAAGCAAGATGAAATCATTATTGAAATATTCTGTCTGTCATGATGTTGTCATGTTGTTGTTGTGTACCATTGAGTCTGGCCCATAGCTGACCCTCCAGTGGGTTTTCAGAGATAGTTAAATCACATGAGAGGATATTGCTCATCCTTCTCCCATGGAGCAACTCGTGGTTTTGAACCATATGCCTTCAGCATTGCAGCATAGCTCCTTACACTAGGCCACCAGAGCTCCCCAGAGAATCCAGAAAACCAGATATTGCCATTGGGGTCTCAAAAAGTCAAAATTACAGTGATGGAAAAAGTTATCATCCAGGGGTTATGAATGAAGTAAAAGTGTAGTATGTGTGGGGTAAAGGCTTGTTTAGCCCCCACTTCAACCAGATATAAAGTTTTATCATCCCCTTAAAACTCTTTCATGTAGTCACAAGTTCACTACTCAAAACCCCTGACAGGCACTGATGACTTTTTCTATCATTGTAGTTTTGACTTTTGGGGAATAACAAATAAATGGAATAATACAGTACATAATCTTTCAAGTTTTTTTACTTAAAAAAAACCCCAAAAAACAAACTCACCACTGGACCAATTGGCAGCATCAGGATGGATGGTGAAGAGATTGAGATTGTTCACAGCTTTAGTTTGCTTGGCTCCACAGTCAACAGTCTTGGCACCAGCAGCCAGGAAATTAAGAGGCGCATTGCCATGGGAAAGTCTGCTGTTAGGGACCTCTCCAAAGTACTGAAGAGCAATGGTGTCTCCCTGGAGACTTAAGGTGCGTTTGATACAGGCCATGGTCTTCACAATCACTTGTTATGCATCAGAGAGTTGGACAATGACCAAGGAGGATAGAAGGAGAACTGATGCCTTTGAGCTGTGGTGCACTACTCTCCAGAGTATTGAGAATACCATGGACTACTAGGAAAACAAACAGATTCATCCTGGAAAGGGTTAAACCGGGTGGCTCCTTGGAGGCAAGGATTCTGAGGCTCTGTCTAACATACTTCGGACATGTTGTGAGGAGAGACCGATCCTTGGAGAAGGACATCATGCTTGGGAGGGTGGAGGGACAGCGCAGGAGGGGAAGGCCCTCTATGAGGTGGATTGACTGGGATAATCGGGATGGGAGTGTCAGAGACAGTGCGATTGGCACAGGACAGAGCAGAGTTTAGGGCTGTTGTACATAGGGTCGCTATGAGTCGCAAGCGGCTCGACAGCACATAACAACAGCAACAATAATCTTTCAAGACTGATTTATCTCACTCAGCATAATCTGAGATTCTTCTAAACCATTCTGTGTATCAGTTGTTGATATGTGCCATTGAGTCACTTGCAACTCATAGCTCGGAACCCTGTTCTATCCTAAGCCACCCTTATTGTCTCTGACACACCTGCCACCATAACCCCAGTCACTGAGTCAGTCTATCTCATGGAGGGTCTTCCGCTCTTGCACTGTCTGTCTACCCTCCCAAGCATGATGTCCCTCTCTAAGGACTGGTCCCTCCTTGCAGCATGCCCAAAGTATATCAGGTGGAACTTCAGAATTCTTGCCTCCAAGGAGAGCATGGTTTCACCCTCTTCTGGATGAATCTGTTCTCTTAGCAATCCATGGTACATTCAATACTCCAACACCAAAGCTCATAGGCATCAATTGCCCTTCTATCATCCCTAGTCACTGTCCAGCTTTTTGATGCATAGCACGAAATTGCGAAGACCATGGCCTGGATCTGGTGCACCTTAGTCTCCAGACTGACATTGTTGCTCTTCAGTACTCTGGAGATGTCCCCGACAGCAGACTTTGCCAATGCAATTAGTCTTTTGATTTCCTGGCTGCTGGTGCTAAGAGTGTTGATTATGGAGCCAAGCAAACTGAAGCTGTTAACAATCTCAATCAATAGCTTGTTTATTATTGCTGAGTAGTATTCCATGATATTGATGTACCTCTATTTATCCATTCATGAAAAATAGTTGTATTGTTTCCAGCATTTGAGATACTTTTCAGACTCCTAGCTCTTACTCTCAGAAAGTGTCATGGAAATTAGAAATACCAGGAAACATGTTCATGTGTAAAAATGTTCAAGATTCACACACACACCTGAAAGTTTAGAGCAAAGTTTTAGGCACCTAGAAGAGAATTTCTTTTAGGAAGTTGGGACATTCATCTACACAAATCACTAAAGAACGGAGAGAATGGACATCCCATGTGAACATCACAGACCCGGAGTTCCAAGAGTGGGCTGCATCCAGTGCACAAAATCTACCCGGAATGGGGATAAGGAATAGTCAGTCACCCAGAGAAGGATGACTATGCACTCAAAGAAAACAGTCAGACTCATGAGTGATTCTGATGATCTCAGAAGATAATAAACTTAAGATACTTAGAGCGGAGACTGGCACATGGCAACAGCTCAGAATGGCTTCCTAACATCCACAGAATAAAGTACAAAGACTGTAAGATGCCCCTTGTGATTTTCTTCTTGTATACTTTGCTAACTTCTACCATTGCTTGTCTTTAATTTATCTGTTCTGTACTTGTGTGGCTTTCTGCTTTGATTCCCTGGCATGAGAGTGGGAGGCCCAGTGGTAAGGAATTGTGCTATCAACTGAAGCACATGATTTGAATCAACCAGTTGCTCCACAGGCAAAAGATGGGTAATTTCCTCCTGTGTGACTTTGCCTCTGAAATCTCGATGTTGGTTCCAACTTGAGGGTACAGAACAACAATGAGTTAAGTGTTGGGCTGTTAACCAGAGAGTCGGTGGTTAGAATTCACCAGCTGTTCCAAAGAAGGACAATGGGACAGTCTCTTCTCCTTGAGACTTACAGCTTTGGAAACATGGAATTTACCATGAGTCAGAATCAACATGGCAGTGGTTTTGGGTTGTTTTGTTTACAGCTACTTTTGCTCTTAATATTGGGGCTTATGACTGTTACCTCCATCTTCCCAATTTTCATCTCTAGTACGGATAGCTTTCCTTAGCTTCAGAATTACAATTACAAAAGCTCGTTCAGAATCTCCATTTAGATTAGTACTTCTCAAACAGAGAGGAAACACCCCAGTGAGAACTTTGGAAACTTTTGAGAATTATTTTTGTTCTTACATCAATTGGAAGGTACTATTGGTATTTAGAGGCCAGGGACCAGGAGTGCCAGCAATACTGAACACCTTGGAAATGCCCTTAAATGCATTCATTTTGCGGGAAGGTTTATAATTTTCTGAAATTAATCCCATGACATGAAAATTTTACACATTTTATATGGCTTAAAATATACTGTCGTGTTCTGAAATGAAACTATGATGTAAATGAAATGGAGATCTAGTAATTCTTTTTTGATCAGAACACACACACACACACACACACACACACACACAGAGGGAAATCGCAATTCCAGCCACAGTACCACCTATGAGATGTAATGCAAAATTTCTAATAAGATATAAAATGTGCTGGATTTTCATAAAGTGACCACATCTCTGTAACTAGTACTCAAGTTTTCTTGAGCAGCAGCATCCTCTCCCTAAAGCCCTCCTCTTGTCTCATCCCAGCCACTGCGACCTTCTGCGATGGTCAAGGCCATGTGTTCTGGTTTGTCAGTTGTTATGTAGTCTGCTCTGAGTAGATCTGATAGGTTTATCAATTGAAAGGGAGCTTAAGGATGTAACCTGCACCAGATGTGTGTGTGTGTGTGTGTGTGTGTGTGTATTTATGTAGTATGCCTGATCCAGGCCATGGTCTTCACCATTACTTGCTATGCATCAGAGAGCTGGATGATGACTAAGAATTACAGAAGAAGAATTGATGCCTTTGAGTTGTGATGCTGGAAAAGAGTCTTGAACATACCATGGACTGCCTAGAAGACAAATGGGTCTGTCTGTCTTGGAGAGGATGAAACCAAGTTTCTCCTTGGAGGCTAGGATTTTGAGACTCCATCTCATATACTTTGGGCACGTGGCCAGGACAGACTGATCCTTGGAGAAGGATAACATGCTCGGAAGGGTGGAGGGACAGTGCAGGAGAGGAAGACCCCGGATGAGATGGACTGATGTGGTAACTAGGGCAAAGGTGTGTCGGAGTCAGTGAGACTGGCTCAGGACAGGGCAGCCTTCAGAACTGTACAGAGCACTTTGCCCCCCAAAAAAGTTCCCTTATATCCTTTTACAGCCACTCTCTCCCCGTGGTCCTGTTATTATTGTTAGATTCTGTGGAGTCGATTCCAGGTCATAGTGACCCGAAGAACAACAGATCTGAACCCTGTCCCACCCTGTGCCCTCCTCGCAATGACACAGTCAAGCCCGTTGCTGCAGCCGCTGTGTCAGGCCTCCTGGTTGAGGGCCCCTCATGGTCTTAGACAGTCATTAATCTGCTCTCTGTCACTATATGTTAACTTGACAGGTTCTAGAACTTCAGAGAAATGAAATACACTGTGTATTTTTTTGTGTCCAGCTTCTTTTGCCAAAGTCTGTTTTATTCTTTTATAGTATCTATTTATGCTTACATATGTGTCATTGTTTATACATCCTGTTTTAGAAAAATGTGGAAGGCAATAAAAATAAAGATAGGTCAGGCATAATAATGGCTCATAAATTTCACTACATGTAGTTGAATTTGAAATAAGCTGGGTTTTTAATGTCCTCTCCTACTTTTGAATAAAGAACCTCAGAACAGCTCTTTATTTTCAAGAGTTCTATTATGAATTTACTGCGTCCCTTTGAAGAAGCTTTTGCTAAGTTTGAAAAATCTTCACGTGTCTCTGGCGGATTCTAGAGCCAATCCCACAGGAGACTCGCTGATACTTCGACACCAGCTTGCAGCCTTCTCTATTACTTGGATCCCTATTTTCTGAAAACAGTCTGATCTTTCTGCTTCTCACAGGATGAGGAAGCACGAAGAGAACTCTGGGAGTTTTCTGTCTTGTTGAGCGTGAGGGGAGGGTGGTGACAGTTATACCAGGTGTCCCCTTAGCTCAAAGGGCAGAGAATCAGTTTCTTCCATGCCCAGGTCACCTGCCACCTGATCGTAGATTCTTCTTGGGTCTTCGTACTTGTGTTCAGGCCAATGACAGCCATAGGGCCCCTGTTATGTGAAAGGTGTCATTAGAGTCATCATTATACATGCTTCACTAAATTTATATTTTCACGCCACAGGAGACACAAGAAATATATTTTCCTTTTCAACTTTAGCAATTTCCCAACCTATGTGAAGAGACTCCGAGGGAGAAGTATGGGCAGCCTCCTCCAGTGCCCTGGTGGCGCCCTGGTGGTGTGTCCTTGAGGAGTTGCACTTGGAACCCGGGGGTGGCACTGCCCTGGTAGTTCAAACCCACCAACAGCTTTCTGGGGAAAAAGGTAGGCATTCTCCTCCTGTGAGCTCTGGTGGCCTAGAATGTAGGGAGCTGCATCGCCAACCCAAAGGAGGCGCCTCTCTGGCAGTTCAAATCCACCAGCCACTATAATGGAAAAAAAAGATGGGCAGTCTCCTCCTGTGATCTGTAGCTTCTGAAGCCCCAATGGAGAGTTAGCAACAAGTCAGTTCCAACTCAGTGTTAATGAGCACTAATTCGTCCCATTTGATTTGCTAATTGGATTGTTCTGAGGCAAGTCAGGGAAAAAAGTTAAGTGTCAGAAATATGGCAAGATCTTAAAAAGCCCATAATATCAGCCATAGGAACTGTGGAATGTGAGTCAGTTATGATTCTGTTAGTCCAGTGAATTTCCAAAAATATTCACCAAAATAAAAGGGAGGGGGACAAACCATGTCTGGTCGTGTTTACTGAGGGGTCCTCTGGACACCTGCTAATAAAGAGCTGCATTGCCAAAGGCATGTAGTTTGAATCCACCAGCTGCTCTGAAGGAGAAAAATGGGCAGTCTCTGTAACTGCCTCTGAAGTCACTGGAGGCTCAGCTGAGTCAGTTCTAATTCAATGATACATAACAGTAACAACTGAGGGTATGTCTTGGCTCAGGGTTGAGAGAAAAGAATTGTTTTAGAGACTGTAGTTCAACTATGGCCTGCTTCTTAGGTTGGTACTGCTTGAGATCTAAGAGTTTCTTAATTGTTGGGGGGAAAGTCAGAAGATGAAGAATATTTTGTGACACATGAAAATCAGATGAGATTGAAATTTCAATGACAAAGAAAACAAAGGTTTTGTTGGAATGTAGGCATGCCTTCTTGTTTCTGTGTTGTCTGTGACTATTTTCACACTACAATGGCAGGCCTTTGTAGTTGTGAGAGACTGTATATGCTGCAAAGCCCAAAATATTTACTAATTGGCCCTTTACCAAAAAAAGTTTACCATTTCCATCTGTGCATTAGAGGGCACAGAGGGTCCAGCACCATAGACAGCATTTCTGCTCACATAATCTATGGTGGAGGGTTTAGAGCTGAGGTTGGTGCTCCCAATGGTACAGTGGGATATTCTTATCCTGGAAGTGCAAGGGCTAAGGCCACGCAGAAAGTCTAGGGTCCTGTCCCACCTTCCTTCCTGTGGGGTAAGGAGTAGAGTTTGGATGGTTGAAGTGCGTTCTGCTGTCCAGCTACCTCGTTGCTCCCTCTGGGCTTTCTGTCCCTGCTCTGCTCTCAGTCAGTGGATGCAGTGAGGCTAGCTAGTGGGTGGCTAGAGGCTGCCATGAGTTCGCACTTGTTCAGGCCTTCCCGATTAGAGTACTCCACTGCCTACCTCAGCAATCGGTCCATTGATGAGTATAGACCCACATGAGGGTGGTGTCAGCCCTGGGGGGAGGGTGTCTCTCTCTCTCTCTCTCTCTCTCTTTTCAAGTCAGAACTGACTCCTAATTGACTCTTCAGCAAATTTCCAAAACTCTAATTCACATGGAAAGAAGTTGCCCAGTTAGCAGTGCAGCTCCCTGGGAACACTCAACCAGAGCTCCCTTGGAGCTCTGAGGGAAGAGGGGCTCTCTTTTTGTGGGGAAGTGGGATTCTAACCTAGTTGGTTCAGGATTAGGTACTGTTTGATTCTGTTGTTCTGGGTCACTATGAGTCAGTATTGACTTGATGGCACTTGACAAGAACTAGAAGGATAAATACTTGAACTTGCTGGAGACATCTTAAGGAGGGAAATCTGGGATCCAGCTGAACCTGAAAACAATCCTGTACTTTGAGTTTTCAAATGAATGGACCCAAATTTTTATTCTCTATCTCTGTTTAACCAGTGGAAGAGAGATGGCTACTTGTCAAATGAAACACACTGGCTTCCTCTACCATGGTCATAGAATTGTACCTTGGCATACGGCACAAGGGTATTCTGGTGATATAGTCCCTAGAGAGCTGCAGGTCTCCTGCACTTCAAATCTCCACAGATTGGGAGAACGATGGCTAGTCTTTCCCCGTTGCCAGTGTACAACCTCAGCAACCCAATGGAGGGTCTCTATGAGCTGGAGTCACCTCTACAGTGGTGAGTGAGTTTGAAGTTCTCTTGTTTGTTTTGTTTTTATATACCTGCCTATCTGGAGTACACTTCCCAGACTCCTTTGCAGTTAGGTGTGGCCATGTGCTCACCAGGAAAATTGAGCAGATGTATGCCCTGAATCATAAGATAGGGCTGTGCCTCAGCCATGCTCTCCTTTTCTCTTCCCATGCCCTCTCCCCCCCCTGCCAGTGATCTGGTCCTTCTGTGCTGACTAGGGCAATTCACTAGGTAGCTTTGGTGGCTTAGTGGTAAGAAACTGCAGTGCAATCCCAAAGGGATGCAGTTCAAGTCCACCAGCTGCTCTAAGGAAGAGGGATGAGCAGTCTCCTCTTGTGTGATTTACTGGCTCTGGAGGGTCAGCAATGGGTCAGTTCCAACTCTGCGGTACTCAACAAAACCACCACCACAGGACAATACACTAGAGGATTACAGAAGTATGTGATAGAAAGAACTTGGTTTCTGGATTAAGTATATCATGCAACAGAGCCTTTCTCTGTTCACCTCTATTATGGATAAAGTAGACTTACTTTTTTTACCAGTAGATTTAAAAATGCATCAGAAAGATGGACAATGACTAGGGAGGATGAAGGTAAATTGATGCCTTTGAGCTGTGGTGCTGGAGAAAAGTGTTGAATATACTATGGACTGCTAGGAGAACAAACAAGATCATCCTGGAGAGGGTGAAGCCAGGCTGCTCCTTAGAGGCAAGGATTCTGAAGCTTCATCTGACAAACTTTGGCTATGTTACAAGGCAGTTTCAGTCCTTGGAGAGAGATATCATGCTTGGGAGGGTGGAGGGACAGCGCAGGAGAGGAAGACCCTCAATGAGATGGATCGATTCAGTGACTAATAGGGGTAGGTGTGTTGGAAGCAGTAAGAACTGGCACGGGATAGAGCAGGGTTTAGGGCTGTTGCACATACGGTATCTATGAGTTGCAGGCGACTCGACGGCACAGAACAACAACAGGTTGGCCTCTATTGCAGAAACAGTTCCACTAATACAAGTGTGCAGTAGTAGGTGGATTTCTGACACTGGCTGAGACATTTACTGACAAAAATTTCCTCACCATCTGTACTTCGTCATAGAGGGCTCCCCATGCTACAGAAGGAGCATTCTGTCTTTCCACCTCATCATACAGGGGTCCTGGAAACGCTGTACACTCATCCTGAAGACCTGTGAAACCTGCCGTTGGAGTGGAAGGAAGAATTTATTAGTGCACACAGTTCAGACGTCAGGGGTTTCTTTGGGTGGGCAAGTCCAGATGTAGGCACAGCTCACCTCGGGGGGAAGGCTCTTCCTCCGGCATGGGGGAGAGCTGAGGGCTGAAGTCCCTCATGGAGTGGTAATACAGCTCTACATCTGATGTGCTGACCTGTTACCAATCACCCAAAGGGGAAAAATTCAGATAAAATCCTTTCCATCCTCAGAGCACCTTGTTCCTGGAAAGGATGATTCAAATCAAGCCAATGGTGGTGTTTTAATCACTCAGTTCTCTGTTGTGGGCTTGGTGGGACCATCCTACTCACTATGGAGCTGCGAGTGTCCCGGTCTCTAGTCAACTGACTCTCTGAGTATTCGTTCTTGACTCGGTCCTCCTCTGACCTGCCAAGGTGGTGGTATGGGGGACGTTCGAGTGTTGACCCTCCGTTCCCCCTCATTCCCCAAGTTTCTTATGCAGAAGCTTCTTTACTGACTGTCTCTACTTACCCTGCTTCTGTCTTCTCTGAGATACCTGATGGGAATAGGAGATGAGGGGTTAGAGATCTTCTAGTGAATCTGGCTGTGGAAAGGCCTTCACCATTACCACCCTTAGGTCCTCCTCTACTGGATGCCTCCTCACCCTCAGCAAGGTGCCTCTGTCTCCACTTCCAGAGGAATCCCCCAACACAGAATCCATTGGAAAGTAGCAGGAGACTCCCAATAGCAAACAACACAGGCAGCAGGGGCAGCCCCGGGGGTCCTGAGGACAGGAAGCTATGCCTCAGTGATTGAAAACTAACTAGGACCAAGAGGGACTCAGGACCAAACAGTAACCCTCCTTCATTGTCAAGGGAGCAAATGAGCAGGAGTCTCAATTCCCACTCCTTGCCACCCCAATGCAGATGGGTCCTTTCTTAAGGCAAACCAGTAGCATTAGATCCTACCCTCTGTTTGAGCCTTGTTTTTAGATTCAGAAGGAATTTTATCACCTTAGCCGGGCACGTGAGAACTTCTGTGATCTGACTCTCCGCACCTCTGCAGCCTTACTAACCAACCAGGTGTTGAAGCCTCCAGTTCACCAACGAACTACTGGCCGTTCGTAGAACTACAGCTCCAAGTCTCAGCCCAGCCTAGTGTCTTGGGTTGAGATGTCCTTTCTTCACAAGCAAACTTCTATTTGCCCTTCAAACTTCATTTATGTTTACTTCATTTTTGCCCAGACTTCCATCTCAGCCAATATCAAGTTGACTTCCATGAATGATTCTGTCTGTGTAAACATCTGCTCAGCGTCTTTTCCTCATATTCTGAAGTGCAGCAATGAATGAATGGAAATCCAAAATCTCTGTAAATGTTCATTAAAATTATTAAAAAAAAGATGAAGAAAAAAAAAAGAACTGATACTGCATTAAAAAAAAAGCAGTTCTTATTTTTCTTTGGGAGAAACAACCACTTCTCACTCTTTCTGACTTAAAAGAATATGGTCTAGTTTGGCCAAATAAGCACCCTGTTCCTGTGTCCATAGTGGTTGGTCCTGAGACAGGCATTTGACCCAAAGTGGGACTTTTCTGAATGCTTGGACTGTTCCTCTGTTGGCTGCCTAAGAATGGAATAGAGCTGGGATGAGGGAAAATATTTTACTTCTCATTGTACAGACCTGAGAAGGAAGCTATAAGAGAAGACAAAGCCAAGAAAGGATAATAAACAGATCCTTGGTGAAAATTGTGAGCATTTGAATCCAGTCATAACTTGAATTTTCAATTTCATGAGCCAAGTAATTCTTTTTTTATTGCCTTCAATGGCTAAGATTTGGTCTCTTACAACCTCCTTGCCAGGCAGTGAAGGGAAAGCTTTGCAAAACTCAAAAATCTGCCCCATTTCCATACTCTGGAAGTTCTGTGTTGCACCATGCTGGCCAATAAAGTCAAGCTACTCGAATCCACCAGATGCTCTGTGGGAGAGAGATGGCCCATCTCCTCCCATGCAGTTTGCACCTTCTGAACCCACTGAAGGGTCAACTAGGAGTTGGTTCTGACTCCACGGCGATGACTTTGACCTTCTAATGATTAAGGATTGGTCTTATCAGGGATGTTGCCTGTATAGTATTTATGTTTAGATTTTCTGCTAAACAAAAAAGTTGAAGATCTGTTTGTCAGATCTGGCTAGCTCATGGTCTTTAGACTTGAACCAGTAGCCTGCTATACTTGCCGACTGGACTCATCAGTATCCAAAGCCAGCCATCTGCAGCCATTCCCGACAATGATCTTGGTCATCTCAGTCTCTGAAGCTGGTAGCCTCCAAGCCAGCAGTCTGAGACAAATGCCTACTGATGATTGAGACTCTGCTCCCCAGCCGCCTTTCTCTTGCGGGTTGAACTATAGACCTGTGACTTGCCTCTAAATGCACATGGGTAATTTCCTTGAATTCAGCCTCTCTGTCTATGTTGTTGTTGTTAGGAGTCATCAAGGCAGCTCTGACCATCCTCATGGTGTCTTCCATACTCAAGCCCGTTGTAGTTGTTGTCACTGTGTCAATCTATATCTATGTTGCTGAGTGCTGTGGAGCTGGAACAGAGACTCGCAGCTGACTCTCCAGTGGCTTGTCAGAGGCTGTAAATCACACAATAGGAGATAGCCCATATTTCTCTCACAGAACACCTGGTGGATTCAGACAACCTGCCTTTGAGTTGGCAAGGCAATTCCTTATCCACTAGGCAACTAGAGCTCACAGATATCTGTGTACAGTTGAGTCCATAGCTGACCCTCCAGCAGGTTTTCAGAGGCAGTAAATCACATGGGAAGAGAGTGCCTAGCCTTCTCCTGTGGAGCAGCTGGTGGATTTGAACTGTATACCTTTGTGGTGGCAGTTCCTTACCACTAAGCCACTAGAGCGCCCTCATAGTTACCTAGAGATAAGCTTAATTGGTTTTGCTTCTCTTGGTCTAAGACAACAACAGAAACCAAAACCCCAAAACTGCTTATGAGTTGGAGCTTGCCATCTCTTTACTCTTCCTGGATCTCTTGTGACCACTCCCTAGTGGAAAAGCCAAGGGCTGGTGCTGGTTGATTGTTCCTGTTATTTTAATTAAGAGCCAGGTGGTTGTAGGACACATGAGAAGGAGGCCAGCCTAAACGAGCTGCCCCATCAGGCTAATAGTCAGACCAGTCCAGGCTAGAAGTGCCCAGTAAGATACACAGAATCATGAGAAATAACAAATGTGCCAGAAGCTCCTGGGTTTGGGTGATTCATCACGTGGCAAAAGATAGAACAAAATGTATCACATCCAGGCAACAGGAAGAGCTAGTTTTTAAGAGACTGTAGACATCAGGAGAGGAGGCGGGATGAGACACTTAGAAGGTTCTTCTCTACAGCAAGGAACAGTGGGCTTGGTACCCACCTGTGGGCTGCTCTGTAGGAGGCTGGTGGCCAGGTTCTCCAGAAGGGTGGTCCAGGCCTGGGAAAGGATAGAGAGGTTTGAATTCACTTTTTTTTTTTTTTAACTGTAAACCACGAAACAATGTCTTTGATTTTATACAGGTTTTTAAAGTTATTTCCTCAATTTCTTCATGTTGTTATTATGGACCATTGAGTTGGAAATGACTCATAGATGACCCTCCAGTGGATTTTTATAGGCAGGTGATCACACAGGAGAAGATTGTTCATCGTTTTCCCTCAGAGCAGATGTTAGATTTGAACCTCATGCCTTTGGGTTGGCAGTGCAACTCCTTACCAGTGAGTATACCAGAGTATACTGTTTAACACAGCCCATTTTCCCAACCTGGCCACGGCCTGGAGAAGGGAAGAATATTCCCTTAGCCAGTCCAATTCATCTGCTGATGTCCAGGGATATGGAGGTGAACACAAGAACCAGCCTGTCCTGTCTGAAACCTCACTCACCACCATGCAGTAACCCAGGTCAGGCCAGGTCAGCAGTACGTGTCTTGCCAACATAAATTAAAGACCCAAGACAATATTAATCATCTTCTACTACAGAAATCTAAAAGATATGTTTCTTAGTTATCATCTGAAAATATGTCAGTGCTGGAGGAGAAATGTCATGAAAAGCAAGACACTGGGCATCCTCAAAAATTAGTTTGGCTGAGATTTCCTTGTACATAATTTTTCTCAAAAACTGTGTTGCTGCCATCTTGGTCTCCCTCCTAAGAACCATTATTTTCCTTTTTATTCAATTCAAACTATTTTCTAACTTTTTTCTCTCAGATCAATAATCATATTCAAACAGTAAGTTGGCTGAAAACTTGTCTGTGGAATTCACCAGCTTGTGCTGCCCTCTCATCTTTACCTCTTCCTCGCTGTGTGCCTTTGGGCAACTTGTTTAATATCTCTGGGCCTCAGTTTCTTCATATGTAAAATATGAAAGAATATAGGTACCTATTTTACTCTGGTGGCCTAGTGGTAAGGAGCTGTTGCCAACCCAAAGCCGTATAGTTTGAATTCACCATCTTCTCTGTGGGAGAAAGATGGGCACTCTTGTCTCCTGTGATTTATAGTCTCTAAAAACCTGCTGAAGGATCACCTATGAGTTGGTTTCACCTCATAGTATATAACAACAGTTTTGCTATGCAGAGCTTGGGTGGCGTCATCCCTAGAGAGTTTCACTGCTAACCCAGAGGTCACACCTTTCTGACAGTTCCAATACACCAGTGGCTTCACAAGAGAGATGGACAATCTCCTCCCATGCAGTTACAGCCTGGGAAACCCACTGCAGGGCAGATGTCAGTCAGTTCTCACTCCATGCCAATGAGGCTGAGCTTTGTCGTTTTGTTTTTTTTTTAACTATACCATCCGATAGGGGCAAGGTGCCTACTGGTAAGAAGCTGTGCTGGAATCCCAAAGGTTTGAATCCACCAGTTGCTTTGTGGGAGAAAAACGATCAATCTCTCATGTGATTTACTGCCTCTGAAAACCCACTAGAGGGTCACCTATGATACAGATCCAACTTGACAACACACAACAACAACAACAACATACAATTCCATACAATCCCCACCTGACAGAATTCTTCAATCTGCCTGAGACTATCTGTTCTCACCTGGAGTGGTAACTGAGAGCTGGATTCCTTTGCCAGTCAATTCACTGTCCCCCAAGGCATTACTGGCCAGCAGCCAGATCCTGTACTGTGTAGACGGCTGCAGCCCAGTCAATGTGAAGGTGGTGGCCTGGGGTGGTAGGGCATCCACATAGAGGTACCCCGGAGTCCCCAGGGCCTCGTATCTGCACGACAAGAAGGGCAATCACTTCAGGGAGAGGCTCCAGCACTACGGGCTGTCACCCCTTACTCCCTTGACTGGAACTCACCTGATGTGGAACTTCTGTGGCAAGCCCCCATCAAAGCCAGACTTCCACTCCAGCCCCACGGAGTGAGGGGTCATGCTCACCACCTTTAATCCCGATGGGGAGTCAGGGCGGCCTTTGGGAAGAAGGATGGAGAAGGAAGATGTGGTCAGAGTACAAAGGGGTTCTGGGAGATTCTTCCCAGATTTATCCTAAGAGACGTGAATACACACTCTACTCGTAGTGGGTATCTGTTCAGTGTGCCTGTGGATTTCATTGGAGAACCATCCTCCTCATTCTCATCATGTTTTCCTGAGGGAGGAGACTTCCCTCCTCCTAGGACAGACCTTAGGGAGCTTTGGTGACCTAGTAGGTAAGAAACTGCTGTAATTCCATAGACACATGGTTTGAACCATACTGGAGGGTCAGTTGTAAGTGGGTGCCAGCTTCACTTGACAGTACACAACAACAACAACAACAACAACAGGTCTGATAGTGTGCTGCTTCTCTCATCCCCAATCCTGCCTCTTCCCCCATGGGCCATGTGATAGGCTCAGGAGTGAACTGGAAGTAAGCAGAGACAATGAAATTTCATTCTAGCATTTTCATCCTACTGCTAGAAAGAGAAAATTGTTCCTTTCCCCTGGAAAAGACAAAATACCATATGTAGTTATTTCTGTTAGGTGCCGTCGAGTCAAGTACGACTCCTTGAGACCTTGTGAACAACAGATCAGACCCTGAGCATAAAGCCAACGCGGAGTTGACAACAGATGAACCTAGACTAATTCTTTAAAATCTTTTTAGTTACTTGAGCCAATAAATCCTCCCATCTTTGCTTTTTCTCTTAGTTTAAGACATCCCCCCCACCCCCAGCCACTGGAACCAAAAGTGTCCCAAAGAAAAACACCCTTAAAATGGTGTTTTTGTTTTTTTTTTTTTAAAAAAAAAGGTTTGTTTCCTGCTGTTTGTTGCTGCCTTCTCTCTGTGTTTACCCTAAAGGCCTAGGCTTCCTGGGGTTTTCAGGAAAAACTTCATCTCATCAAAAATCCTTCTCAAGTTTCAGGAAGGCTGCCAGTCGGAGGCCAACTAGGGACTTTGGGGTTGTCCTAGATAACACCCCTAATACCCTCAGAACCTGTTCCTGCCTTACTGATGCTGACGAGTTGAATGTTGGTGTGATCTGAGCCAAGGGGGTTGGTGGCTGTGCAGGTGAAGAGGGCATAATCCTGGGCTGCAGACACGTTGGCAATGGTCAGGAGGCTACTGTGGACCCCACCTTGGTGGTATGTGTGCTCCACGTACCTGGAGAGGAAAGGAGAGGAAGCAGGGACTTGGGGGAAGGACCATTTGGAGCTGAGGTGCTACCTGGCCGAGTCTGGGCTCACCTGGGATCCTGGAGGTCCAGTGGGACTCCATTTTTAGCCCAAGTAAAGACAATATTGGGGACACCTCTGGCACGGCAATGGAGGGTGGCAGAACTGGTGCTGTCTCCAGCTGCAGCCACCTTACTTAGGGGAGTGGGGTGCTCCACCTGAGGTGCATCTGGAAGGGAGTGGGTCAAAACAAAGCATGTGGAAAGATATGAGAACTTCAAGTCCAGTGACTGGCCTTTCTGTCAAGAATTTAAATGCTACTTACATCTGACGATAAGGCGAACCAGCCCTCGGGCTGGAGGTGCCACCCCATTGTCCACGATGCACTGGTACGCGCCAGCCTGGGCCAGTTTGGCCTTTTGAATCTTCAGATATCCTGTGGATCCCTTTGATCCTTGCTCTATGTCATCCATGCTCTGGTCCTCCTCCTCTTCCTCCTGGAAGCCCAAGACTCAGAGGTTGGGCCTCACAATCAGGCCCTATAAGCAGCATGCTCAGAATTGGGTCAAGCAAGGCTCCCTCTCAGATGGAATCATCCTCTATAGAGTTGCAAATAAAAATTTCCCATCATTCACTTTTATATCCATCTGTCTGACCATTCACGCATAGATCTACTCATTCATCCACCAATCCAGCCATTAACACTTGGAATCATCTATCAGTACTTCCATTCATGTATTCATTTATTCATTAATCCAATCTTTTTTGGTTTTGATCCACCCATCTATCACACCGCTTAGTGATAAGAAGTTGAACTGCCAATCCAAAGGCATGTGATTTGAACCCACCAGCTGCTCCACAGGAGAAGGAAGGGCAATCTCTTCCCATGTTATTTACTGCTTCTGGAAACTCTCTGGAGGGTCAGCTATGTGTTCCAACTCGATGATGATACACAACATTACTACTCCCATTCTCCATTCATCCACCCTATTCACTCAGTGATATATAAACACACCCATAAGCATATACACCTCTTCATTCATTTATCCATTTCTCCACTGACCCACAACCCATTCTCTTATCCATCCATCCATTAATCCATCATCTTTCCATAGACATCTTTCTGCTGATGGTGCATCAGTTCATTCATTGCCCTGCTTCTCCTCTCCTCTATCTATCCACTTATATTGTGTAGTCAATTAGCTACCCATCTACCATCTGTTTATTGTTTATCTACTTGTCCATAAATTCACCCACACACTTATTTGCTCATCTAACTGTTCACTCACTCATCTATCCAAACACCCATCCATTATCTATCTGTCCATACACCTACCCATCTATCAGCCATTCTATAAACAGTTCTTGTTGGAACATGCTCCTGACATAAATGTGCAAGCTCATACAGAGGTGGCTCCCACTCCCAAGGAGATCACAGTCAACACTGTAGTCCCCCAATCCCCCATCTCCATTCACCAGAGGCTGGAAACTCACTAGCTTTTCCCAATTGAACATCCCTGGGAGGATGGGGTTGGCTTCAACGGTGCAGGCTATTTCCACAGAACCTCCGATATCCACCTCAGTGGGATCCTGGAGGGTGCGGATGTTGGGCGCATCTGGGGAGGGGCAGAGGCTTGTGTATGTCACTTGGACCTTACAGGGCACCGTAGGAAAGGGTCTCAGGTGGGAGCGATGTCTTAAAGGTGTGCAAGGAAGTTGTGATATGGTCACAGTCAGCTCATTATCAGGAACAATTGGAAGAGGGTTCTCAGGGTTGACAACTGCGGCCATGCCTCTGTGGAACTTAGAGTAAGTTGGGAAATTTTCCAGAACTGTGTTGTGGTGGTGGTATTACCAAGGGGAGTGGCTTTCTCATGGAAGTAGCTGCCATGTTGGTGAAATTCCTTTGTAGGTAAAATTGCAACTTCGGTCTCCTTGTCGAGTTCTGGTCATGTAGAGTGTTCTGTTCTAATTCACCAGCCATTTTATGAGAGAAAGATTAGGCAGTCTCCTCCACTCAAGATTTAAAGCCTAGGAAACTCCATAGAGAAGCGCTAGGAGCCAGAATCTAGTACATTTTTTAGTGGGCGTGGCTCCAGCGTGGGTGTGACTACAGTGTGGGAGGGGCTTCAGAGGCGGTATCCACGATAGGCAGGGCTTCCGCAGTGGCTGAGGTTGCCCTTGGCGGCGTGGTGTCCATGGTGGGCAGGGCTCCTACTCTCCAGCAGTTTGCTAGGGCGGAAAGGGAACTCACAGTGCACGTCCAGACGCACAAGCACCTCAGCGGTGCCCTCTGAGTTCTGGCAGTACAGTTGATAGAGGCCATCGTCCGCGCGAGTCACGTTCCACAGCTGCAGAGCTCCGTCAGGCCGAATACGATGCCGGGGTCCGCCAACTGCGGGGGGAGGCACAGTGAGGCGCCTGCTCGGCTCTCAGTACCCAGGACCGCCCTTGTCTCCCTGTTCTCTCCGCACACCTGGGCTGAGCCTGTAGCCCCGGAATGTCCAGTTGAAGGCTTCGGGAGCGGGGTTGGCAGACACGGACACGGGCAGTGTGACCTCGCCGTGCTCCACGGCGGTCACCACAGGAATCTGCTCTCCCAGAAACTCGGGAGGGTCTGCAGAAAGGTCGATCCCGGGAATGAAGATAATTGCTAAGGTTGGAATCCAGGGCGCAGATTCCAGGTCAGACACAGATTCACGGTTTAAAGCTAGGGTCACGATTAGGTTGGGGGCAAGGTAACATTTCAGGTAGAGCAGAGGTCAAGAACAGGTCAAAACAGAAAAGGTTATAGATAGAAAGAGGAGTCAAGATAAAAGTCAAGGGTTGAGGATGACGTGGTGGCGAGCACGTGGGGATCACATAGTGGTTAAGACGGGGACAAAGGACCAAAGCAACATCAGGATGGGGACAATAGCTGAATAGTAGTTGGTGCAAGGTCAAGAGTCAGGATAAAGCTCAGTAACAGTTGAGGACGGAGGGAAAGCACAGCATCTGGTGAGGCCGGGAGTCTGCAGGGTCAGTCAGTCCTGGGCAGCGCACATACACAGCACATTGAGGCTGTAGAAGGCGCTGACGGTCTCCTGGAGCTCGGCGCTGTATGCACGGCAGATGACGCGGTGGCTGTTGTCGCGGGATGCCACTCGCAGCAGGACGCTCATGGCTGCGCCGAAGCCCTTGTAGGGGGCGCTCCGGGGCGGCGCGGTCACGCCTTCCAGGCTGTGAACCCGAAGGGGGCGGGATCTCGGTGGGACGAAAGCCAGAAGGGGCGGCGACTGGGCATGAGGTCGGGCGGGCGGGGGCGGGACTGCTCGCCCCTCTCTCTCCCTCACCTCTCCCCCTCCTTGTCCCACGACAGGTTGACGGGGGGGTTGCTGCTGATACTGATGCACGTCAGGTTTACCACGTCCCCGGGGCGCAGCGCCGAGTTGTTGGCCAGGATTGTCACGTTTGTTGGGGGAACTTGAGAGCGAGGGTCAGAGATGAAAGAGAAGACCTCCTGCTTCCGCCGCTCCCTGCCCCCGCTCCTCCTCAAACCCTGCGTCTTTGGCTGGTGGGATCTCAGTTCTGGCTCCGCTTCACGCACTGAACGCCCACCCTCCCCTCTTGTCTGCGCCCTTACACTGCACCACGAGCTGTGTGGACGAGCTGAGACGGCCTGCTTTGCATGTGAACTTGGCTTTGTTGTCGGATGGGCTGGTGATCAGCACCAGCTCGCGGGAGAAAGTGTTTCCCGACTTCTCCAGATTTCCCAGCTGCACCTGCCGTGGCTCCTGCGGAGACCGCGGCTCGGTCACTGTGCGGGAGTCCTGGGGAGGTGGGGGCTGAGCGTCAGCCTGGGCATCTACCCCTCACCACAAGCGCTGACACACCCATCCATCGGACTGGCCACTGCCAGTCTAGACGCAGCCTTTTCGCTCTGGAGGAAAATGTGTTCCTATAGGCAGGCATGGGGTCTCTGGTGGCCTAGTGGCAAGGAGCTGCTTCCCCAACAGAAGGCATGAAGTTCAAATCCATCATCTGCTCCGCGGGACAAAGATGGGTAGTCTCCAGTCTTGTGATTTATTGCCTCTGAAAACGCGCTGACTTGACGGTATATATACAACATAGGCAGGCACAGCCGTATGCAACCTCTAATCCGCATGCTCAGAATTCAACTCATTGCCATTCAATGCAGACCGACCCGGAGCTGACCCTCCAGCGGCCTTTCTGAGACTATAAATTGCACGGGAGGAGACTGTCCATCTTTCTGCAGCAGAGACACTGGTGTATTCAAACTGCCAGCTAGAGGTTGGTGCTCCGTCCACCTATGGCTCCACAAAATCCATCCCTGCTACATTTACCAAACATCACAGGCCAGGAAACTCCCTGCATTCTCAGGCCTTACCCAGAATTTCCTCATTTTTTTAATGCCCTCCCCTCCAAACCTCCCACCCCATTCTTAGTTCCTTTGCTCAGAATCTCCTTTCCCCAATTATTTCTCTTGCTGGACACTAACCTTGTACCAGGTTAGAGAAGGTTCTGGGTTGCCCCCTATGGCCAAACACACCAGCCTGACACGAGTTCCAGCCCGGAGTCGCTGCTCTTCTGGAGGACCCTCGATCCACAGCTTCTGAGCAGGATCTGAGATGGAGGGAACCAGGAAGGGTGTTTTCCCTCTCAGGGCCTGGAAGAGGGGTCTCTGTGGCTTAGGGACATCCTGGGGCTGGAGTAGGCTCACATTTGATATTTAGGGTGAGCGACTTCTTGAAAGTCTCCTTGGTAAAGGCCTCACTGAAGGCCTCACAAGTGAGCGTCAGCCCGTTGTCCTCTCTCCGTGCCAGAAATGTCAGGTTGGACATGGAGATGTGGCCACCATGGAGGCCCTGTCAGAGAGCAAGTTTCACACTTGGGGGCCTGCCACCCCTATCCACATTACCAGAGGTCTAATCAACTCTAGATCCTAAGAGGGACACATGAGGTTTCTGTACCCTTCTGTCACACTGTCCATCCTGCCCTCCCCCAAGGCCATCAGTCCTTCCATCTCCTTGTATCTCAGATTTAGGGGCCAGCCTCAGGACCCCGGACTCCAGGCCCTCACTGACCTCCTTCCTCAGTCTCCAGCCTGAGGTCCCACCTCACCTCCATGACTGTTTCCTCCGTGGGCAGCAGCTGCCGCCAGCCCAGCCACCACTTCAGCAGGACTTGTGGGCGGCTGGACTTACTGACGCAGGCGAGGGTCATGTTCTTGTTCTCAGCCTGGGACACAGACCCCAGGATGGTAATGGCACTGGGGGGGACTGTGGAGACAAGTGGTCAGAGGAGACGAGGATCAGATCAGACAGGGAACTGGGGCAGATAATGAGGAGTTGAGGGGTGATCCGGAGGCACACACATAGTTCTCGGGCTAGAACTGACAGGCAGTTGGCACTCTGACTCACAGATGACCTGCAAGGTGACACTACGTTCCTGGGTCTCTGTGGACACGCTGTTGTGGGCCTCACAGCTGAGCCGGGCTCCTTGGTCCTCGGGCCGCACAGTCATCAGCAGTGTACTGCGGGCCACTGCCTGAGCATGCTGTGTGCCCCATGCTGTGGACACGGGCTGGCCATTCTGAGGACAGTGACAGTCTCGGGTTGGCCCAGGACTAGTTCCTGACCCTGGTCCTCCCCCACCTCCAGTCTGCTTCTTCTGCCCTCACCTTCAGCCACTGCAGGGTGGCTGGTGGGTTCCCCCCTTGGGCTTTGCACGGCAGCTCCAAGATCTGCCCAGCACGCACATGCCCCTCATCCAGGCCTGGCCACTCAATGACAGGGGGTCCTGGTGGGACTGAGGTGCAGCAGTCACTCAGTGGGTCCAGGGACTCCATCCTTTCTGTATTCTGTTCCCCTCCTCCCCCTCCTCCTCTCTTATTTAAATGCTTGGATTGTTCACATTCTTGTGTTCCACCAAGACCGCCAACCCCTACGCACAGCTGGATCCTCACTTACACAAAATATTCATGGTGATTGAGACCTTCATGGGGAATTCCAAAGCTGGGCTGGACCCCTCACAAACCAGCAATTGCCCATTGTCTGAGCTCTGAGGAGTCACCCTAGGGGTGGGAGGTTATGATGCCGGGGTCAGAGACATCATCTGAAATCTAGGAAGTTAAGACATAGAGTGGAGATCCCAGGTCTCTGGGCCTGATCAGATTTCCATGTTGACTTTCTCTGGCATCTGACATTTCCATGGGGGAGATTTGGAGGATCAGTCAGAATGTGGGTCTAAGAGGCCCACATGTGGCCCAAATCTTTGTACTAAATACCTTGGAAAGTTAGGTGGCAGTGAAGACATTTTGGAGGGTCAGGATTAAGTATTGGGACCCAGATAGTCATGTGACTCAGGTTTCCATGTTTGAATCCCCGGGGGTATGAAGTTCTCAGGGGGAATTGGGCATTTGGGTTGGGAAGGATGTCTCAGCTGCCAAACCTGGCTGTGGCCTCTGTGGTGAAGAGTCTCTCCTGAGATCCATCATTCACGTCAACAAAGACGTCAGAAATGGTTTGTCCACCTTGGGGTAGAAAAGGGCTGAAGGGAAGCTGGACTCCTCAGACTGAGAAGCCCAGTCTGAAAGCCTTCAGGGAGGACGTGATGCCTCCTCTTTCTAATTCTAGAAGAAAAGGATCTAGTGCATTGAATCTGTTCACTCCACATCCCTGGATGAGTCCTGGGGCAGGAGGGAGCAGGGTCCTGGATCTCTTCCCTTCTTACTCTCTTGCAGGGTTGTCTCATCGCCCCTCCCTCCCCAGCACCCATTTCTGCATTAACACTATCAGTATCCTTGTCCAAGCTTGGCCTCTCCCTTGGGTCTTAGCTGAGGGGCTCCTGTGGTCTCCTGGATGCCTCCTCCCTGGATATTTCCTAGACTCTTCCATACACCAGATCCCAATTTAAATGTAGTGTAGCCAAAAGCACACCTCTCCTGCTTGTTCTTGGCTCAAAGATGACATATTTTCTGGGACCCTTAGGAGAGCAGAGGGCAGAGCTTCAGACTGACCCTACAGTTTGCCCACACTCACTCTGGAAGAAGGTGATGTCAGGTGCTGGCTTTGCATCTCCAGTGACACAGGTGACTGTGTATGCCTGTCCAGCTACCCAGGTAACCAAAGTCCCTGCCTCAGGGGTCATCTGGAGCACTTTGGGGGGCACTGGTGAGAAAAGGTCATTCAGCACTGAGAAGGAAAAATGATGAGTTGAGTCCCTTCATCATGACCAAGTGTGAGATTCTGAGGGTGTAACAGGACAGGGTTCAGATCTGTTGTTCACAGGACTGCTATGGGTTGTACTCGACTTGATGGCATCTAGCAATGACAACAATTCAATAAATGACTCCTGGGTAGGAAGAAGGCTGTGATTCCAGGGTTCTGGAGGTCCCTCATGCATACCCAAGACAGAGAGGATCACTTTGGGAGACACAAGTTCGGGACTTGTCTCTGAACGGCCGACCTGGCACTCATATTCTGCATCGTCACTGAGGTCACACGCTGTGATATGTAGGTGGAATTCTCCTGCAGGGAGGACCTGAGGTCATTCCCATTGGCCTCCTCTGGTGGTTCAGGGCCTCAGGTTCTGTCCCCTTACCTTTAGCAGGGTCTCCCTTGAGGCGGTACCGTGGGAAGCCAGGAATCCTTGGGTCGGGGCCTAGAAGAAGTCCATCCTTGGCCCACTGCACCGTACTGCCAGGGGCGCTGATCCCGCACTGCAGCTCAGCTGTGGCCCCCTCCAAGACCGTCACATTTTCAGGCAGGGCCCAGAAGTCTCGGTGGACCAAGGCAGGGACCTGCGACTGAGCCAGGCCTGGGAATCCAAGGTGATCAGTGAGCGAGGATTATTTGGGATCTGGCTGAGGAATGTGGATGAGCATTGAGGACTGCCAGGTGTTGGCCCACAGACCAAGGCTGCACTCACCTGTGGCCAGCAGCCCCGTGAACAGCAGGACAGTGCTGCCGGGAGTTCTCGGGGTCCTGAGGGCCCGCTCAGGCCCTCTGCCCATGGCCTCCATAGTGTCCATCACCTCTCTCCTGTGTCTACTTCTATCTTTCTCTGGTTTATATCTTCATTTCTTCTTTTTCTGTTTCTCTCTCTCTCCCCCCTCTCTCTCTGTCTTAGATTCACTGTATAAGTCTCTATTTCTCTCTTTGCTGTTCTGTTTCTCTCTCTTCTTTCCTGCTACTCTGCCTCTGCTCTCCTCTCTCTTGTCCCCCTCCCCTGTTTCTGTCTCTGTCTTTCTCCCTGTCTTAGATTCTTTTTCTTTCTTAGTCTCCTCTTTGTTGGTTTCTCTTCCTCTATCCTGCTACCCCACCTCTGCTATTCTCTCCTCACTCACAATCCCTCAAGGAGGCTGAGTTGGGTCCTGTCCTCTGATCGGCTGGGCTCATCCTCACACGTCCTCCTCCCCTGGGTCCACTCACAAGTCTCCAGCTCTGGACCTCTGGCCAGCACTCCTCCCAGACCAGCTAGTACAGGAAATCCTCTGTCAGCACATGCCAGGCACATTCCTCGGTGCCTCCCCAGCACCTGCAAACCCAAGGGCCTGGTCTGTGCTTGGTGTGGGGTTGCATGGCAGAAAAGTGGGCAGATCAGAACAAGGCTGTCCCAGCTCAACCAGGGAGCAGAGAGCTGGGCCCAGTGTGGGAGGTAGACTTCCAGCTCTTCCCTGCCCTGAAATGTGACCTTGGAAAATCCCTTCACTCCCTGAGCGCAGATTGGGCTCTTCAGGAATGTCAGGGATCTCTACTGGGGAGTGTGCATGAATGTGAGAGATTTCAGGGAGTACAGGAGGAAGTGAAGTACCCATATGAGTGTGTGTGTAAGAATCTGAGAGGGTGAATTGTGGTTTGTGAAAACATGTGGACAGCCTGTGCGTGTGAGGGTGGAGGGTGCGGGGCAGTGAGAGTGATGAGAGTAAAAGGATCAGCTTGGGCTGCTGCAGGTACAGGCTGCAATGTTATCAGCTTTGCATTCTATCTGAAAAAATATCACAGTATCAAGTGATCACTATGGAGGGACAAACTGTCCATCTCCACCAATCAGAAGCAGCCATTGTTGTTGTTAAGTACCATTGCATTTAGTATGGCCCCATAGTAATCCTGTGAACAACAGATATTAACCCTGTCCTGTCCTGTGCCAACCCCACAATCTAACACACTTGAGCCCATTGCTGCAGTCATTATGTCAGTCCACCTGGTTGAATATCTTCCTCTCCTTTGTTGTCCTTTTTTTAAAAAACTTATTTTATTTCATTATTTTTTGTGTGTACCGTCAAATCAGATCTGACTGGTACAAAAGGAGATTGTTCCTCCTTCTCCAGCAGAGCATCTGGTGGATTCGAACCGTGCAATTGCAGCTTCTTGCCACTAGGCCACCAGAGCTCGCCACTGTTGTCCCTTTACATTTCCAAACATGATGTCCCTATCCAAGGAATAGCCTCCCCACACCCACATATCCAAAATATGAGATGAAGCTTCAACATCCTTGCTTCCAAAGAGCAGGCTTCAATTTCTCCAAGTTTTATCTTTTTCTTTTCTTTTGACAGTACATGGGATATTCAGAGTTCTCCTCCAACATCACAGTTCAACGGCACTGATCTTTTTTCTGCCGTTCTTATTCATTGTCCAGCTCTCAGAGATACATAGTAAGTGTTTGGAAAGACCATGATCTGAATCAGGTGCACCTTAGTCTTCAAACTAATATCATTGCTCCTCACTAATTAGGAAAGATTGTTAATGCATATTCCTCAGATACTGATGCCACATTCTTCTTTATAACGTCCAGCTTCTTGAATTATTTTCACAGTGTACAAATAGAAGAGGTATGGAGAGAGGATACAACCTGACACATATCACTTTTTAAAAATTTTATTATATTTTTTATTATTATTCACTCTTTTTTTAAGGAATAAACTAATTTTCTTTTCTATCATGGAGCTTTCAAGTATGGAGACACAAAGGAAGAGGAAGAGTTATAAGCAGACACTAGTGATTGGAACATGGAATGTAAGAACCATGAATGTAGGAAAATTAGGAAAATTAGATATTGTTAAGGAAGAAATGGAATGTATAGATATTGACATACTAGACATTGGTGAGATGAGATGGATTGGCATGGAGCATTTTGAGTCAGATGATCATATGATATATTACTCTGGAGATGAAAAGGTGAGGAAATACGGGGTTGCATTCATAGTTTAAAAAGTCATTTCTAGATCCATCTTGAAGTACAATATTGTGAGTGACAGGATAATATCCATATGCATACAAGGAAGGCCAGTGAATACCACTATCATTCAGATATATGAACTAACAAACAGAGCCAAGGGAGAGGAAATAGAAGATTTCTACCAACTTTTACAGTCAGAGATCGATCGAACATGCAGTCAAGATGCATTGATAATAATGGGTGACTGGAATGCCAAAGTTGGGAACAGAGAAGAAGAATCAGAATCAGTGGTTGGAAAACATGGACTTGGTGACAGAAATGAAGCTGGAGAGAAAGTGATTGAAGTTTGCACGATCAATGACTTATTCATTGCAAATATGTTTTTAAGAGACATAAACACAGGTTATACACATGGATTTCACCTGATGGTATGCATAGGAATCAGATTGATTACATCTGCAGAAAGAACCACTGGAGAAGCTCAATATCAGCTGTGAAAACTAGGCTAGGAGCTGATTGTGGAACAGACCACCAACTACTCATATGAAAGTTCAAGCTGAAGCTGAGGAAAATTAAACTGGATCCACGGGAACCAAAATACGACGTTGAGTCAATCCCACATGAATTTCAGAACCACTTCAGGAACAGGCCTGAGGCCTTGAACACCAATGAGTGAAGACTGGATGAGTTGTGGGAGGATATCAAGGGTATCATCCAGGAAGAGTGCAAATGGCTATTAAAGACAGAGGAGGAAGAAAAGACTAAAATAGATGTCAGAATAAACTCTGAATATTGCACTGGAGCAGAGAGAAGCCAAAGCACAAGGAAGAATTCAAGATACTAAAGAGCTGAAAAGAAGATTTCAAAAGTTAGTGCGGGATGACAAAGCAAAATATTACAATGAAATGTGTAAGGAGCTGGAGTCAGAAAATCCAAAGGGAAGAACTCGCTCAGCATTTCTTAAGCTCAAGAAACTTAAGAACAAATTCAAACCTTGAGTTATTATAATCAAGGATGCTTTAGGCAGAATATTAAATGATCCAGGAAGTATTAAAAGAAGATGGAAAGAATATATTGAGTCACTGTATCAAAAGGAATTGTCAGACACAGAAGAATTTAGTGAAACAACATATGAGCAAGAGCCTATAGTGGTGAAGGAAGAAGTTCAAGCTGCTTTGAAGGAAATGGCAAAAAATAAGGCCCCAGGAATAGATGCTATACCAATTGACATAGTTCAGCTAACAGGTGCTGCCCTGGACATGCTCACCAAGTTGTGCCAAGAAATCTGGAGAACAACCACTTGTCCAACTGACTGGAAGAAATCTATATTTGTTCCCATTCCAAAGAAGTGTGGACACTATAGAACAATACCATTGATTTCACATGCAAGCAATATTCTACTGAAGATTATCCAAATCAGCAGAGAACTGCCAGAAGTCCAGGTTGGGTTTAGAAGGGGTTGTGGTACTAGGGATATTGTAGCTAATGTTAGATGGGTCTTAGCTGAAAGCAGGGAATATCAGAGGAATGTCTATCTGTGTTTCATTGATTATACAAAGGTGTTTGCCTGTGTGGGTCATAACAAACTGTGGCTGACTCTGAGAAGAATAGGAATCCCAGAACACTTGATCATGCTAATATGAAACCTATACTTGGACCAGGAGGCAGTCATCAGAACAGAGCAAGAAAACTGCATGGTTCAAAATTGGGAAGGGCGTACCCCAGGGATATGTTCTGTCTCCATACTTTTTCAACCTATATGCTGAACAGATTATCCGAGAGGTTGGGCTCTATGAGGAGGAATGTGGTGTCAGGATTGGTAGAAGATCTATCAACAATCTGTGTTATGCAAATGACATAACCCTGCTTGCTGAAACTGAGGAGGACCTGAAGCACTTGCTGCAGAAGGTCAAGGACTGCAGCCTTCAATATGGATTGAGGCTCAATGTCAAG